TATGTTTACTTGGTCAAATCATGTGGAATTTGGACCACCGCTGAATTAGTACTATAATGAACTGTGGGACCTAAGTAAGTGTACGGGCTACTTATGGTCGTTCGTAAAATAATGGGGCAAGTTGGTCAGGTAAGGCTCAGTAGCGTCTCAAGTTTTTTTACATCGTGAAAGATTTATATTTATTAAGTGCAAAAGATTCGCATAAGTTTACAAATATTTGGTTTATGCATTAAATTATTTTATGCATGTGAAAACCTGTGAACTCACCAACTCTTTGTAGTTGACTCAATTTTTGTCCATGCTTTTCAGGTAACAAGTAAGAAATGAAGTATTTTGGGAGCATACTTGTGGAAAAACTGATTAAGTTCGCACTGGAAGCTTTTGTAAAAGATGTATTTGTCAAAAAAAATTGGTTATGATGTTAAACTCATTTTATTTTGAAAAATTGAAAAATGTTATTTATTAATTGTTGCTGTGACTTGCTTGCCTGTTACATCTCGTGTTTCCGCTTTAGCGGGGTGTGACACCATAGTCGTATTCCTACTTCTCCATTTGAAATACTTAACATAAGATTAAAGTTCATAAATCGCTCATCACATAAACCGGCTAACACAATTGATCGATTTTCCTTTAAACCGGTTAAGACATGTCCGGTTTAGGTCTAATCCACTCGATATCCCCAGGCGGTTTAAATCTAATCTGGATAGAACTTGAGCAATTTGTATACATCCCAATTCTGTCTAACTCAAAATCGCATAATACCAAGAGCAATTAAAAGTTAAATCGGTCAATACCTTACCCAATTTAAGTCTAATCTGATATCTTTCAAAAACTCAATTCAATATACTTGTCCAGCTCAGCTTCAGCAGTTGATGTGGACATTGAATTTTGCTTTCTACTTGTCCAGCTCACCAACTTTCCACCTAGAAGCTGACAGTCTTCAGTGGTGTTTATCCTATCAATTTTTCAACCTGCAAAATCACTATATGAATAACCAATAAGGTCAAAACCTGAGTCCTTGGGATACCAAAGGCTCAGATTTGGTGTTCCCTTCAGATATCTGAAGATGCGTTTTACAGTAATCAGATGGGACTTCTTAGATTCAGATTGATATCGTGCACACAAACAACTAGAGTATATAATATCTGGTCGACTTGTTATTAGATACAGTAGGGAGCCGATCATTCCTCTATAACAGTAATGTTTACAGGTTTTCCATTTAGATCCTTGTTCAGCGAGAGAGGAGGAGCCATTGGAGTCTTCATAGATGAGTTGTTGGTTAGATCAAACTTCTTCAACATGTCCTTGAATTACTTACTTTGATTGATAAATATATCTTTATCTGATTGTTTAATCTGAAGACCTAAAAAGTAAGTTAGTTCTCTGTGTGTCCACAATATCTGATCAATCTTCATATCATCATCACAATCATGGCAGATTTAGTTAATCATGTAAGAACATCATATGAACATTCATAAGGATCTAGAGAGAAAAAGTCAACTTGTAAATCTCAGTCAAACTCTTTATTATTTTTCTGCATATTACAATTAGCTCACTTTTTCTAATTACAAAGATTACCTATCTATTTATATGGTCAACATGTTAATACAAAGTCAAAGTCAAACTAGTCTAAGAAAGTCAAACACGCTGACTTTTACAATTATAGACTAAAATTAATCTTTCAAGACGAATACAATTAATATTGATTTCTCAGTCCTAACATT